AGTAATTTTCGTACTTATGAGTTTGAATTTCCAACACTGTTTCAATCCTTAGCTATAAGAGTACCATTTAGTGCTTCTCGTATCCATAAGTCCGAAATTCCAATACTTCCTTAATTCTGTAATTTTCATTGCAAATTTAAGTTTACCATCTCTATCCGTTAATTCTAATCAAAATTGTACCAAATTGTGTACCATTTAGTACATATAATGACGAATTTACAAAACTACCGACATATATCAATTCTGCATTTCCTAAACTATATCAATCCTACACTCCAACAGTAATTTTAGTACCAAAATTCTGGAGTCCAGCCCTATCCGTTCACACGTAATCAAGTTGTAACAAATATAGTACCATTTAGTACACATAAGTACTACGCTTCCATATCTCAATTCTGTATTCCAACATCAACAATTAGTACACATTTTAGGTTTCCAGCTCTCTCCGTTCACCCAAATCCAAATTGTACCAAATCTAGTGGCGTTTAGTTCTTTTCGTACACATAAATACGAATTCCCAAAGATGTCTCTATAGCTCAATCTTCTACAGAAATCATAATTCCAAGTTTCAGGTTTCCAGTTCTATCCTTTCAAGCAAACCCCAAATTGTACTAAATTTAGTACCATATAGTAGCTATCGTACCAATAAGTGCGAATTTCATAATCTACCTCAGTCCTACACTCCAACAGTCATTTTAATTCCCAATTTAAAGACTCCAGCTCTATCTGTTCACCTAAATCCAACTTGCACCAAATTTAGTACCATTTAGTACTTTTCATACAAAAAGTACGATTTTTTAAAGCTACCTTAATTCTGTACTCCAATAGTATCAGGATTATCCATCTCTACACACTCAACTGAATGAAAATAGTACCAAATTTAGTACCATTTTATAATTTTTATACACATAAGCCTTTTCGTCTGGGCGATGTTCTGTCAGTCAGTTACTCACTCACTTAACCTCTTTTATATATTAAGATTTGCTTAAATTAATCTGTCAAATAATTTATAAACACATATCAATCTACGTACAATTAGTAAGTGTAAACACTTACTAAGCACATGTTTGACGGCGATGTTGGGTTGTACATCATAACGACGCCGTCAAAGTGAAAACACTGGCAAATGGAGAGATAGTCGACTTACATATCCCTATCTTCTAGTTGGAGTTTAGAGTTTTAATTGTTTTCAATACACTTTTTTGTTTATTTCAATACAATCTTCATATAAAGCTAAATACCACCGAATTTTTATAAAAAAATATTACAAAAAAAGAAAAGAAAATATACATTTTAAATGCAGTGAAAAAGAATCTTAAAAAATAATGTAAACAAAACAAAATTGTGTTTAAGCCAAGCTTGTCATGAATACATACAACAACAACAGCAACAACCACAATTGGACAACTCAACGTTTTTAAGCCAAACAGACACAACTGTCAGTGAACCACCAAAAACAAGTTTCTTTTCTTGAAACTCTTTCGTTATACATTTGGATTAATTAAAGACGTTCTGAAACAATGGGTGAGTTCTAAAATTGTGTATTAGGTTTAAAATTATTAAAAATGTGCATTCTATTACACATGGGGTTTCATTTAGTAATAAATAAAGAATTGGTTGAATTGGAGAGGGACCACTCCCAGTTCAAAAGATTACGACAAATAGTAAAACAAGTGCATCTGTATTTGTAAATATCTCTCAATGAAGCCACCACCAAGCATTAATTAATGCTTGTCGAGTCTTGTCTTTGTTTTGCCATGTAAACAAAGTAAACGACTGCAATGAAATGTCCGTCTGTCTTAAGATGGTATGGAGTTGTAAATAAATAATTATCTAGCTTTGTTTAATGTTTCTTTTAACGCATTATTACATTTTGATGATTTGTTTTTTGAAAACAATTGGCTTTGCGAATTCACGAAACATTTCTTTTTTTGCATGACTTGTTTTGATATATAAATGTAGTAAAGTGCAAACGAACGCATTCGCATGCTTGGCTAGGGAAGCATACTGAATTTTTCGGAATTTCAAAATTTAACGAACAGTAGTGTTCGCAAAAAAAAACAAAGGAAATATCCGAAATATCCGGGTCAAATAACCGGGTACGTCCCCCGAGAAAAAAGATATCCCCATAATTAGGGTAAAAATACCTACCTCTGGAAAAAAATTTGAAAAAATCTGATCGTTTTTTCTTAAATAGAGTTGTTCCGAGCTTTGCACACACATAGCTACTACTCCTAGGATGTTTTTTTATAATTTAACAAAATAAGATGGAAAAATGATATGATATTTAACGGAAAAAAATACTCTTCAGACTAAAAGAATGTTTAAATATTATTAAAGACAAATTGGAAGAATTGAGATTAGGGATGAAGAAATAAATTCGGAACTGAAGGTGTGAAACTATTATAAAGGAAGTGATTGGCACAAAGCGCGATTATCTGGAATTTTATTTTCAAATCTTCGCCAAAAACTGATTTTGCATTGGGGAAAATTTACAATTAAGCCGACTTTGTAATTAGCCAATGTGAGGACGCTAGACATGATTTGCATGGCTAAAAACACAGCGTTAATTAAAATGGAGTCTTTGAAGACGTCGTATATGGAGCTCACTCTTTTGATATACATTCTTCAAATTAAATAGAATGCTACAAATATACTTCGATATAAGAAAGGAGCTGAAGGAAGTAGTGGATACTTTCCAATATTTGGTGCAATATTTGGCAAGTATGGTGCTGGTCAGTAAAAGTTCAGCAGTAGGAGGACCACTGGAGAATGGTTCGAAAATCCGTTCCGAATTATAACCATAAGAAACCCTACAGTTTAGTGAGGCAGGATCTATGGGCCAGCTGAAGAAAAAGAAAGATGACGGAACGAATCTTGGAAAATAGGAACAATAAGTTGATCTCCTGAATGCAGAACAGAATTATGATGGAAAAATTGCAGAAGAAACCAACCAAGGTAGAAGAAAATGGTGATGTTGTCCCCATGGGTGTGGAAGTCAAGAAAGAAGTGGCGATTGACGTTTTAATCACTTCCCCAGATTTAGAAAATGGATGTTGTTGAACCGAGATTTGTTGTGTTGACGGTCCGAACGTTGTTGGACCGCTTAGGGGTGTTGTTGGAACGCTGAGGTCTCTTATTGTTGAACCTCTGTATGGTGTCGATTTTTTTTTAATTGCCGCTGATTGTTGGGGTACATTTGTTGGCTCAGATGGACAATTGAATAAGTGATATGTGTCATACTGGCAGGAAGGATTGAGACCTATTTAGGATTTCGGGAACAACTTACTGTCGATAGAAATTACGAACATTACTATATTCGGACCTTACTTCTGCCAGAATGCAACAAGTTTTCCTAGGAAGAAGAATCTTACTGTCCGAAATTGCAGGAGACTGTTAGTTAGCGTCGGAGGCCGTCTGTTCTTGTACAAATTTAATAGAGTTCGCTATCGACGATATATAGCACGATATCACCTCAAGTACTCACGGATGTGTCATGGACGTCGATCATCCATCTCTATGAAATGGTTGGGATTACACAGCAGATACCATGCCAGAAACAACAACTCATTATGTTGTTTGATTGACAGTATCCAGGTCTTCACTTGGAGGTGGTCGACGGTCGTTATCTGGAAAAAACCGTTTGTAATTGGAGTGCATAATTTTGCGATATTTATTGGGATATACAATTATGTCCAAATTTAGGACGGAACGACTTATCGGCTTGTACTATTTACCAACGTTTCCTAGCTTTTGGCTGATGTTATTGGAGGGTGTGAAAGAGGTTATGAAAAACCCCCAGGAGTTTTTGTATTATGTACGGTGGAGATACACCTATCTTCGACATAAATGTGAAGTTATAAAATCGCGTCCATATTATATTATACATATGTATATATATTTGAAACTACCAGTTGAGAAACTAATCGTTTCTGAAATTTAGATAGATAACCTAATACCGGCGACTGGATCAGTGATTTTGATAGTTTTGTTTTGAAGATAAACTTTTTGACCTCACGGGATGTGAATGGTTTTTGGCTGCTAGTCTCGTTTGAGATTTCATACAAGTGCTCGTTTAAGCCTGACGATTTATTTGCCCATCTTTGGGGAAAACTAGCAGCAAGACACTGGCTGTTCATTGTAAATGATAGTAATCTCTTATGGGAACCATGAGGAATATCTTTATTTAAGTTGATTGAAAACTGAACACCCAAAATATTATTTTCATATTTAAATTGAATTTCAAATTAACGTCTAAATAATAGTTTAACGGTGTTATCTATTTTCCGCAAACAGGTGACTGAGAGAACTTCAAAGAGTAGTCACTCATTACTTTTATGATTCATCGTAATTCACAATAACATTGCGACATAGCTGATATTCAGTCACCTACTTTTCGAGAAAAAAAGTGCTCTTGTTATTTCACTCACTAATGCAACTCCCTATCTATACTCATTTGAGTATGAAAGCAAATCGTTCCAGTTACTGATAAGATAAAATGGGAGATTATAATTACAGTGGGTTAAAAAAGGTGGGAAGCAATACAAACTATATTCGATAATAAAGAATAGTTTAGAAAATCGATATAGTTTTTACACCTTCCAGAATATTTATATCTAAGGGTTTTGTTCTACCAGAAAATTGTCAATCCCCCTAAAAATTCTCGTAATATTTTATTTATTTATTTTTTTAGTAATTTTTTATAATTAGTGTTAGATACTCACTTTTGGCCCACTGTACACTTGGTTTAATTGCGATAGCAGAATGTGTCACCCACTCAAAATGTAAAAAACAAAAAAGAAAGCGAATTAAAATGAATTTAAATTTCATGAAATTCGGACCTCAGTGAACTTGACGCATCTCCACATAGTAATTAATTATAAAATTTATTCTGTTTACCAATAGATAGACATGTTATAAATTAAAGTCGCGTGTGTGTGCCCTTCCCATTCATATGATCTTCTTGTAAAAATTAAACACAATAACATAACATAAATAAAATGTTTTCCCCTGCTGCTGGTGGTGGTAATAATCCGAATCGCGTGCCTGATCCACGCGAAGAAATTCTATTGGAAACAAATTTCGAAGATGATGGTGTACTAACGCGTGCCTACAATGCTAGACCACTCATTGGAAGCTGTAATCGGCGTAGAGCACATCGTTCCGAATTATCCATTGATCGTTATACAGAACGTGATGGTGGTGAAGGTAGGATGAATTATAATGGAATTTTTTTCTTCACATCATCGCCCTCCACTTAGCACTAGCACTTTTCAATTTCCAGTAATTCGCCGATTTTTCGTTGGAAAAAGCAATTTCTTTATTATTTGAATTTTTAAATTTTGTTACTTTTTCTTTTGTAGTAGTTGTGTTTCTGAAATCATAATTAGATTTACTTACCTTGATCATTTACTTTTCAATATTTTATATTCATATTTCATTTTTTTCATTTCCAGGTGATTGCTGCCAATCATGTATGGCCAGAATACCCTATGCCACCCTAATAGCCACTCTTATGTGTCTATTGGGCGTTGGCATATTCTGCGGCACCATGTACAGAGGAGCTTCATTAACTGTAATTATGATGGATCAAGTATTCCATTTAAGACTGATATGGTATGTATTTTTGTCCTTTATTTGATTAGAAATCTCTCTTTAAAAATAATTTCTTTCGTATTTTGTTTTTCAGGATTGAAACAGTTCGCATGATTTTTATTATAATTGGCGGTACAATGGCTACCTTGGGATTCATGATATTATTCGTTGGATTTCTGGCAACTGGCGCTACACGCTATAAAGTTTATCGAGCCTGGGGTACGCGTGTTGGTGGTCGTATATCCTGTGCAGTGGTATGTATTTCGAAATCATACAAAATTGTATTTATGTTAGAAAAATAGGAAGATCTTCACCGATTGGATTTATACTAGTTCAGAAGATAGCTACAACGTGTTAAAATTTGGAAACAATTGAATTAACATATTTTGAGTTATCGTGCTCGTCATTTGTAAAAACACTGTTTCTCTTAATAGATTATAAGAAGTTTATACATTATATAGTTAACATCTGTCGAACAGTCAAGGTCTTGATCTACAAAATAGATGTTCGATCGTCATTATTTCTTCCACATCTTCACTCGAGGGCTGAAGCCAAACTCCACTATCATAACAAGTATAAATAAGATATCGGATCTTTAAGGGTCCTGTAATAATACCAACAATGAATTGCATCTCTAATTTGCCGAGAGCATGTAGATCGAACTCATCAGTTCAAACAAGCTCTTCAGCCTGTTTTTTCTCCTTGATATGTCTGATATGAAGGAATACCTGAAATTCTCACAAACTAATGAGTGTGTGTTAACGCATGTCGTAACGGATGCCAATTGCGGGAAGGGACGACTTTGTATTGATCTTTAAATTAAAATTTGACCCGACAAAGTGAATCCCTCTTCAGCCTCATTGAGGAATACGCCAGCTTCCATCTAAGCCAGGAGAGCATCCCAGCTGACATATAGGATTATACCCTAATATCAGATGAGGAGGACGATGCTGATGTCACTGTCATCAGAACTGTCCCCTCGAATCGACAGGGGACGTCAAATATGTCAGCTGTGAGTTTGGGTTCCTTTTCAATTTCCTGTAACATTCGTACCCTGACAACATCCATGATCACCTATAGTTCTAGACAGGGCATCGTCTCTGTTCTAAGATTTACTATTTATCAGAAAATTTACAATCTTCAATTCACCCCTAAATCAATCGTGTTACTTTTCACTTCCTGGACGCGAGTAGTCAATTCAGAACTGTCTATAATCCAAAAATTCTTGAGTTGGTTTTCGATATCCTTCTTCATTTCTCCTCGCACTCATGGTTATTTCATAACCAGTGGAAGGTAGAAACAAAATTTGAAAAGCCTTGGGTGACACCTTCTGGGACAAATATACCGACATATAAGGCTATCGGTCGTTTCATTCTTAATTATGCAGGCCCAGTCTGAACTTCCTTAGCGACACACCGTAGAGATCCTTGCAAAATAAAGCGCTCGGAATTACAACCTTTGTATTCTGAAATATCTGTTCTGGAACGTATAGAGCACGAATTCTTTTGCAACCAAACATCGACACTATTTTCAGATTTTCCGGGAGCGAAATATTCAATTACTATGTACAATCGTGATTCTATTTACTTCCTGGACGATATCCATCTTCATTTTCCCTCGCACACCTGTTACATGATCAGGAGTTAAAAGGTGGGAACAAAATCTCTGGCTGCCAGAATGCTGCCAGTTTTTAACCAGACAGACCCAGCTGGCATGCTATTTGTCGTGTCATCAAAACCTTAATCTTACAGTGATGGCTAATTCACATCAGTCATTCCGTCGGACGTCAACAGATCGTCGATAGCGAACTCCATGAAATCCGTGTAGCAACAGGTGGTCTCCGAAGCCATACAAAAGGCTAGAGATGGTATAAGGTCCTAAACCAACATCCTCCCATAATTTCGGGCATTGAGACGCTTAATCTTAGGCAAATTCGTACCATTCTGGCACAACTAAGTTCCGGATATAAAAATGTTTTTAATTCTTATCAAGAGTGCATTGTTTCCGGAATCCTAAATAGATGTCCTTACTGGTAATATAACCCTCACGACACTCATATTTTTTTATTGTCCTTCCGAGCCATTGTATTTTCCTCCCGTACATCTTCACAACAGGATGTTGTCAATCGCCGGAATCATTCATGCTTTCATGCTATAAATAGGATTCTAAGACCCAGACATGTAAGAAGAGGCCTACAAGATCTAGAGAGAGAGCAATGATCGAGGATGAACCCATACCATGTGAATGGAGGTCTTAGAATCCACCCACCACATATAGCAGCAGAAAACGACAGCTGCCTAGACACACGAGATTGGTTTTAGCTCAATTAAGATCGGAATGGTACAGCCGCCTCAATACGTATTGTGCCCGAATTAATATCACGAATTCCGACACATATCCTGCATGTGGACTTGGACTTGTGGACATATTTTCAACCGCACAGCTGAGCCCTGTTTCCGGAATCACTTTTTATACCCTTCAACTCATTGTGATACAGGGTATTATGTACATATGTTTGTAACAGGCAAAAGGAAACGAGATAGACCCATAGTTCCTTTTAAGAATATGCATAGAATCACTTTCTGAATCGATTTATCCATGTCCGTATGTTGATGTAAAATTGTAAACAAAGAACAAGTCGCATTTATCATCCGATTTGGATTTAATTTGGCACAGCTGATTTATTTGGCCCAAGGACGAGAGCATAGAATCACTTTCTGAGTCGATTTATGCATCTCCGTCCGTCTGTTGATGTAAAATTGTAAACAAAGAACAAGTCGCATTTATCATCCGATTTGGATCTAATTTGGCACAGCTGATTTATTTGGCCCAAGGACCAACCCTATAGAAATTGGGAAAAGTCGGTTCAAATTTAGATATAGCTTCCATATATAATTTCGTCCGATTCAAGGTAAATGGTGCACCAAAGTCCCAATATATCATTCGATTTGCACGAAATTTGGCATAGCGTACTGAATTGGGCCTAGAATGTTGTGTGCTAAGTTTCGTGAAAATCGGTTCAGATTTAGATATAGCTCCCATATATATTTTCGTCCGATTTAATGTACACCAAAGTCCCTACTAATCTTTCGATATGCACGAGACTTGGCACAGCGTATTGAATTAAGCCTGGAATGATGTGTGTTTAGTTTCGAGAATATCGGATCCGATTTAGATATGGCTCCCATATATATTTTCGTCCGATTTAAGGTTTAAAAAAAAGGGAAATGTTGCGCCAAAGGCCCACCACGAAATTTGGCACAGCCTACTGAATTGAGTCTGTAATGATGTGTGCTATGTTTCGTGAAAATGGGTTCAGATTTAGATATAGCTCCCATATATATTTTCGTTTAATAGAAATGGTGCACCAAAGTTCTTATATATTTTTCGTGCAATTACATGTCAATGTTATTATTCAAAAAAGCGACGTCTGTTAGGAGACTATGTAGAATATACCCAAAGTGGTGAAGGGTATCATATAGTCGACCCAGTCCGACTTTACTACTTACTGGTTTTATTCTAGAGAACTGTAGATCTTCTTCTTCCTGTGAAAGAGCTGCAGGTATTCGTCTTCCTTTGAAAGAGCTGCAGGTATTCTCCTTCCTATAGAAAAGCTGGAGATATTCTTCATCCTATAGCAGAGCTGCAGGTATTCTTCTTCCTGAGGAAGAGGTGCTGGTATTCTTCTTCCTGAGGAACAGGTGCTTGAACAACAAAAAAATATATGGATAGTTGCTAAAACATCAAACTTTTTCAATTATATATCTGGTTGGCCTAAAAACTCTTTAATTTGTTGCACGAACTGACTAAAAATCTTACTTGCCTCTACCTACGATTTTTAACTGTTCTTATTTATACTTCCCAGTTTGTTGATCATTCTAGCACATCGAGTTCATGGAATTCACTTTGATCCTCTAATAAGAGGAACACCGTTTTTCGAATACTTTCCCTATATTCCATAAAAATCAAATTCATCTACGAGAGACCTAAGATAGTAGCTGTCCTAAAACCAAAGCAATTCGACACCTGTAGTTGGGGCTTTAAATTATAATTTTGTTTTGAAGAGAACAGTTTTTTCTTTTAGGCATACAGCGATTTTTTTTTGCTCTTTATTTGTTTAGAAAAATTAGTACGGATTTTTTGTTTTTAATTTTTCGATTTAAATTCTATACATTTCAGCTCATGGGTCTAACATATTTGCTCAATTTTGTCTGGACACTGATATTATGTTTTTTGGTTGTGTGTACCTTCATCTACACCATGTTCTGGAATATGTGTTCAAGCGTTGAACGCTCAAATACTTGTATAGATTTAACACAATTTCGTAAGTACAAAATATAATAATAAAAATAATAGTGATAATAATGTATCGTAACCTAATTACAAATTTTCTACCTTTAAATTTTCACAGATTTCATGTTCCCCTCGACTACCAAACAAGAAGATATGAAAATATGTGAACCGTGGGAAATTAAAGCCTTTTGTAAAGATGGTGTTGAAAATGCAGAAGTCATGTTTATATTGGCCACGTTGGCAACATTATTGGTCATATTGAGTTTGGTTCATTATTTGATGTGTTTGTCGGCAAATTATAGTCACATTCGTGATCATGAAAAATTCCAAGAACTGCAAGAAATACAACATCTCAACGAACTGGAATACAGTGCAACATCTAAGGAACGTTTCTAGAGGGAGAAAAAAAAATAAAAATATTCCAATTCAAAAAACAACAAAAACAGAAAAACATGAAAGTATTAAACATAGTTATTGGAATTTCAACTCTAACCCACTTTCCCAACCACAACAAAATTGTAGAACAATTGTTGATAATTTTCGGCATTTTCGTCATCACGAACTTCGAATGAAACATGTTCGCAAAGGACATTGGATACAAAAAATAAGAATACAATAAAACGAACAAATACGAAGTGAAAATTTTTAAATTTGTTTAGGAGCTTTAAAAATAGATTGCATTTCAAGCTCTACAGCCAATTTGAAAAAGTGATATTTTAAACAACGAATATTCCGTCCATTCCAATGGCTTCTTAAAGTCATATTTTTCCCGAACTGCACAATTTATCGGTTGCTGCAAAAATGAATGTAAATGTCGCTCAAGTCAATTGTTTTGGAAGTACATCAATATATTTAAGGAAAACAAGAGGATTTCAAATTCCGTAGTTTATGGCTACGAGAGGATTAACAACTATTGAAAACTTCCATACTATCAGATTTTATTCGTGACCGAACGATTCCGGAACTAAAAAGATAACTGCAAAGCTAATATCCGTGCTGTTTTTATATATAATACATCCAACCTAGATCATACACCATAATGCGCAAACATGAATTGACAATTTACATTTGACGACCGATAGTGACCCGCGAAAACGCCACAATTTTTTATAGTATAAGTACCTTTCCTCCATAGTACAAATTCCCAAGTTCTTTTATTTACACTTTTCGATTCATTCGTAGTTTTTCTTTCATGTTTTTTAATTCATTAATTCGCTTAAGTTGAAATTTAACTATTAGAGTTATTCAGAGCTATTCTCTGTGTAAAAAGTTTATTTTTTAATAAAATTACTACTTATTTTGTAAAATATATAAAATATATATTAAAACAAAATTGTGTTTTATTTGTAGGATGCTATGGAAAATTCTGGAACCTTTGGGTTGTTGTAATAGTTCGGCTGTAGTCAAAAGTTCTTTCCCGAAAATATAGTAGTTATGGAATTTAGGATTGAAAGAGGTACGCCGAAAGGAATGTGCAATCTCTATTGGCTTTAGCTATAAGTCTATGGGAAGATTTGTTTGCTCAGATGGACAATTGAACCATTTGTTGTAGGGATTCCGGGAACAATGCGCTCTCGATAAGAATTAAGAGCATTACTATTCTCGGACATTAGTTGTGACAGGATGGAACGAATTGTCCTAGGAAAAAGCCCCTCACTATCCGATGGTGTTAATAAGGTTCGCTATAGACATCACATGGAATGACTTCTTGGATGTCTTCACGATAGAACCTGAAGTCCTGAAGGGTATATCGCGTAGTTGAATCAGCCATCACATTGTGACAGTTAGGTAGACACAGCAGATAGAATGCCAGCAGGACTCACGGAGGTGATCTACGCTCATCAACTGGACATTATCCTTTGCAATTCCAGGAGAATTATTTGCAAGGATATTCATGTGTCGCTAAATCCAGACTGGTTCTACATAATATATGATGTAACAACTAATGTCCTTGTATGTCGTTACCTAGCTTTCATCTTCTGATTGTAATTGGAGTGCAAGGAAAAATGAAAGAGGTTATCAAAATTCACCGCAAGAATTTTCAGGATTACCTCTTAAATTTTTTATGGACACAAAACTATACGAAGTTTATACGCAGATTATGGTTATATATGAGAAGGGAATGATCGAGTATTACACAGATCTAAGGTTGACACAATTATCGGTTCGCCGTGATTGTTGTTGTAGCAGTTTTATAAGAACATTGTTCTTCCACTGGCTGTAACTACAAATCTTCAGGAGTAAGAGTGTGGTATGAGGGCCCGTGCCACATGCTGGGCAGACATTCTGCACCTGGTCAACAATTCTTGCCCAATATGAATTAAGACGACTGCACATTCCTGAACGTAATTGGACTAAAACTACTCTGGTTTGTATGTGCAGATTCAGGCAATTTAGACCTGCTCGATAGTCAAATTGACATTAAGGCTTCCTTTCATAACGTTGGACCTCTCTCTCTCAAGATCAAGATCTCTCAAGATCATGTTCTTCCTGATACGCCTAAGTAGGGGCGTCTTATCCACCGCATGATGGTTATGATGATTGTCTCTGAAGCACACGAAAGCATAATCCTATGCTGATTTAAGAGAAAGGTCTTCATCTCATGAAGATGGTCCACTGGTGTCATAAGGAGGCACATTTTTGGAGTTATCAGCGCGGCGGTCTGACAGGATTGGCTACTACTCCAATGCGTAACACTAGTATTCGCAGATAACACTCGTACCGCATGGCTAGCCACAGACTGACGTTGAACATGCCGTTTAAGCCGCACGATTTGAACATGCCGTCGAATATGCCACCGAGTATTTTGGAGTAGTTGGTAGTCGTAATTGGGTGTCCCTCGACCTGCACATTCAATGTCATTCTCATCTCCGCAGTCCATGTGGTGAACAATGTGGTCGAAGATTTAGTGGCTCATATTATCATATTCCCCACGTAAATGAATGCTGTTTACTCGGCGAGATACGCATTCAAGTTTACACATATGTCCTCAACTATAGGACCCGATGCCATAATCGTACACAGGGCGTGGAATACCGAAACTCCACGTACGACTGACTTCCACACATGTAGTTGATTATCCAACGTTCAAACTTGGCCGGAGGGAAGTGTTCTCGGTGTCCTCGAACACTGTGGCATAATTGACTGTATCAGATGCTTTTAATAGGGCACGCGCTACCAACATTGTTTTATGCCACAACCGGTTCTCGTTTAGTCCTCGAATTATATGTGTTGAGATAAAACGCTGTTTTGCTTACGTTGCCACGTTGATGATTAGCAACTGGATAGCTTTCCCTAATGCTACTGGTGACAAAAGTATTACAAATCGGCTTGTAAGATTTAGCTTTGCTTGGCCTCAGTAGCGGGCCTGCCCATTGTCCAGACATCGGGAACGACGTATGTGACTATCGCCTAAATGACGACTCCTGGTCTGTGCCAAGAGAAATGACGGGCTGACAGTTGACATCATTTATAAAACCTGGTGGCACAATGGTTATTTTTTCTAGTTGTATGTATTTATTAAGATATTTAGGCATAAATAATTATTATAATTAAATAAACATTCTTGGGAGTTGTTTAAAAAAAACATCGTTACATTTTCGATCTGTAGAAACCTATTATTGCTGTTTTGCATTCTGTTTTGATTCTAATGCTTTATCAGTCTTTGATTTCTTTATTCCTTGTACGTTGGTTTTCAGTTTTAGGGTGGACTTTGTTAGTTCACCGGTAGTCATATCTTGGAAGAGGTGGTTTTCGGTACGTGAAATTTGCTATTTTGTTTATGAAAAATTATATTAAAGATAAAATTAGTGGAACATTGAAGTGTATAAGACTTTCTGCTACGGGTCTACAATCCGAAACGACCCGAGTCTTTCTCGAACAACGTCTGTCACCTCAGACCATTATGCGGACAAATGCCGGTGTCGAGACACTTGCCCAATGCCACAAATAACGTAGGGCTCTGGAACCTTACGAATTAAAAATTCAAACAAGGATCACGAAATTGAAGACGACCAAGAAATTCATGGGAGTAGGAGCGTCCCAATAAATAAGGCAAAATTACCGTACCTGTGAAGATGCAAGAACATCGGCAACTAATGGAGATGCTTTGTGGAAATTGAAGACGACTCAGAAACACCTGGGACGAACAGAATCCTAAGTACTATGGCAACATTACCGTACATTTGAAGATGCAAAAACAACTACAACCAATAGAGAAAGATGGTCATGTTTTGTGGAAGCACTTTGCTCCCAAGTGTAGTAACAGGAAAATAATTTAAACACACACCAAATTTTCGACATCACGAATCTGAATATATAAGGACAGATAGTTTAATGTAGGCTATAATAACAAGGGAGCAGAAAATACAACAGAAATAAATTCTCTCGATCAGCTGTAGGGTCTATAAGGGTGTTTCGAAAGATATGACTAATCATGAGCAACTACTTGATTCAAATGGACCACTTATTCTTGTCATTATTTGGTTTCTGAAAAAATATTGTCTCGAATCTCACTCGACCATACCCTTTTAACTCATTCCAATATTTAACAACAGTCGTTTTCACGACAGTTTGCTGCTAAGACAACAATTCCCAATTTATTCCATTCGGCCACCTCTTTTCCATTGTGTACATATATGAAGATGAATGCAATCGACGATATGCTGAAATGCGAACTGCTAAAACTCCCATAACACAATAAAAATTTCCAGTTAAAAAATAATTTCCTAATATTTTGAAAATATTCTTTATATATATCATTCTATATTTTGTTTCGAATTTTTTCCAGGTTTCATCAAAAACGGAAGCACTATGAAATTACTAATAATTGCAGTATTACTGGCATTTAATGCCTCCATAGCAGTTTGTCAAGAGGTAAAATATATTTCTCATTGTATGTAAAACAAACTCAAATCCTCATCCTAATTTTTTCCAGCTCAACAATCAACTTAACCAATACATTGATGCCGTACAAAGATCAACGCACACCAACAATTGGGCTGTGCTCGTAGATGCCTCACGATTTTGGTTTAATTATCGTCATGTGGCCAATGTTTTGTCCATTTATCGTTCGGTGAAACGTTTGGGTATACCCGATTCACAAATTATACTTATGATTGCCGATGATATGGCATGTAATCCACGCAATCCACGTCCTGGTCAGGTCTATAATAATGCCAATCAACATATTAATGTTTATGGTGATGATGTAGAGGTAGATTATCGTGGTTATGAGGTGACAGTGGAGAATTTTGTACGTCTACTGACTGGGAGGACACAAAATGGCACAGCACGCTCTAAGAAATTACTTACCGATGCTGGTAGTAATGTGCTGATTTATTTAACTGGCCACGGTGGTGACGGATTTCTTAAATTCCAAGATTCCGAAGAAATTACAAGTCAAGAGTTGGCCGATGCCGTAGAACAAATGTGGGAGAAGAAGAGGTAGGAGGAATATACAAGGAATTTAGATAACACTTAATGGATTACAAGGGGTTACAAAAGTTTAGAAGTACTATTAAAGGTTTCAAATTAAAATAGGTTCATAAGAGTTTGTTATAGGTATTATTTAACAAACTAAACTACAAACTGTCTTATTTCTGCCCAAATTTAATTATAAAACCTCTATTGTACGATTTCCTATTACAATAATTTCCTGATAACTTCCTTATTTTTATCTTTTAAGGTATAATGAACTATTCTTAATGGTGGATACATGCCAAGCTGCATCCTTGTATGAAAAATTCACTTCTCCCAATATATTAGCTGTTGCTAGCAGTTTAGTGGGAGAAGATTCACTATCGGTAAGCAATATAAATTAATATTATATTAATTATATGAGAGTTCAAAAGTATAGAATTAATTCACAGGTTGCTACAGTAGACCACGGATATAAGAACATCGAAAAAATCGAGAAATTGGTTCTTATAAGCGGGTTTTTCTTATATGAATGTATTTTATATAGTAAACTGTTTTCTTATATGAGTGAAACGTTTTCTTATATAAGATGTTCTTATATCCGCGGTCTAGTGATCGAATCTATTCGGGGAAGGTTGGAGTATATATTTTATATCCACCGAAAGAGTGTTTTCTTGTACTATGAGCATGTGGTGGTGTATGCTCCTACTCCTTCCTTGTAGTAGGTCAACTTTTGTGTAACAAATTCTTCGATCGGTATATTAATCAGTTGTGAGTCACTTTGTTAGTATATTAATTTCCTTTAATATTGATATATCCAAGGGTCCAATGGATATTAATTAAATTTCGTATATCGAGTGAAGGCAATATGCAGTCTTATTTAATATATAGAATCTATAGACGGGAGTTACCAACCCTAAGTTCTTAAACTAAAAATTCCTTAATAACAGATTTTTATTCAAAATTTCTTATTATTTCTTATAAATTTATTAATACATTTCCTTCTTTTTTTATAGCATCACGTTGACTCCTCCATTGGTGTATATATGATTGATCGTTATACCTATTATGCATTGGAATTTTTGGAAAAGGTTCAACCGAATAGCGATAAAACAATGGGAGAATTTGTAAGTATAATTTTTGATGTCCTAATGAAGCGATTAGTTATTTTCTATTTCTCTTTTTTCAGTTGAAAGTCTGTCCAAAACGTCTATGTATTTCAACAGTGGGTGTACGCAAAGATTTATATCGACGTGATCCAAATAAAGTTCCTATTACTGATTTCTTTGGTTCGATACGGCCAACGGAAATAACAACAGGTCGTGTTAATATTACACTGACTGAAGAAGAGTAAGTAAATTTTTAAATTTCATTTTCTGCAAAATTTGAAAAGAACATATTTAAGTTCCTCACTACCAAACCAATTGTTTTTAATAAATCAAAATATTTTTCCATGGGCAAGGTATTGGTTGTTACTGACACGAATTACCTCGAGAAAACATACCGAAAAAGAAATAGATGTCTATAAATCCGGATTGCAAAATTACAGTACTATCGGTTGGAACATGCGACTCAAATCATAAAAATACCGACTGGACATTTATAGGGGCTATGTCTAAATATTAATTTATATTGAAGATTTTCTGCCATATAAATAGTTCACTATCGCTTCAGGAATTCGCGATTGCTGAATACCCGAGATCATACCTAATTTGCCAGCAGACGCAGTTGGACTAGCAAATGAGCGTGATGTGCTACGTCTTCGCCCGTAGATCTCAGGGTCAGGGAACTTACGTTGTAGATCAGCAGTTTTTTCGCGGATCATAAGTGGAATAAATTGTTAGAGTATCTGAGGTGTTGCAAAATTGGAGCGGTTGTGAGTAAACGGTGGGCAACGGTTAAGTCGTTCTCGAACACTGGGAAAAATTATGATAGGATCTAAGCTGCATTTAACGACTGATCCGAAGAGATACGCTGGCCATATTAACCCATATTTTGTTGAGCATCACGACAGTAAAAGGACGAAGCGAAGAGTGCTACATCGTAGAAGATCGTCTCCCGTCGAGAAGTTACAGCTTACAGTGGGTGATGTTGCAAATGATATCCGAGCGTTGGGCTCCACGCACTCTCTACCCATCGCAGCTGAATAACGTCAGTTGCCTAGACAAACCAGAATTAACACGCCAACTGTTGCCAGAATGAACAAAAAAGCGAAATAATTTCTCCTCGGTATATTCAAGAAAAAACGAAAAGAAATAAAATAAAAGATTTGCATTTTTCGACGAAAGAAAGGAAAGGACACGGATTGATGATAATGTCTGGTCATCTTGTGGTGCAGGCCCGCACACTTCGCTGGATGGCTTATCTTTCCGATTTGGTTTCAAACCACCATTACTTAGGAAGAGTCTGTGGGCAGAGATACAAATTAAAAATTAATATATTCGCTGAAAACACACCCGAAATTATGAGGACTCTTTGGTTAAGATTTTATTCGAATCTTCCCAAGTGGCAAACATTTTAAAGAGAGAATGATAGAAAAGAAAAATTAAGAAGGAAAATGTAGGGGTTAGGATTAGTAACTCAGCCAAGATCGTTCTGTTTCGAAGTATGGGGCATACACACAGTAGATCTTAGTTTGTTTCCGTATATTCTTCATGCTTACATAGACACAGTATTCCATTTCATCAATTGATATAATGATTGACATCGAGAAGCCCGTCAGCTACATGATCTACCTTTATGGCGCTGTGACACATAACTCAAGAAAGTGTAACACACTGATGTTTACAGTCCACAGTTCGATTGATTTTAGAATCGCTGGACTATCGACATACATATATATTCAGTTAAGCCTTTAGAAAGGTTACTAGACTCCGAAATTAGGAACACAAAATAAAATTAAAAAAAATCCCAGCATGCCTACATCAAAGACAAATTAGTGGACACTGCTTTACATGAGGTGGTTGGACATATTGAGAAGAATATGGAGAACTCCGGTTATACTTTGGTTGCGTTCCTCGACATTGAAGGAGCATTCAACAATGTGAAGCTGGCAGCTAACCATTCTGCTTTCGATAGTTCAGGTACCCCTCCCTTTTTACAGATTGAATTGATAGAATGCTGGAAAGCAGAATCATAAATTCGCCTATTGGAGAGTGTTCCGTTCCCCTTTACTAAGACTTCTGGTGATAAATGAAATATTGCAGAAATTCTATGCCGATAATGTAGTCTTGCTAATCAGTAGAAAATTTCTGCCGACTATATTAACTCTGGCCAACTGGGCGCATGCCAATGGAAACAAAAGATCCGTAATTTCCGATTGCCATCCTTGGGTGGAGTTACCTTAGCTCTGTCTTCGGAAGCAAAATACCTTGGTACAGTCCTTGACCACATGCTAACGTGGAAAAGGAATATTGAGGAACCCTCTAAGAAAAGTCTAATAGCACTCTTATTTTGCAAGAACTCTATAGGACAGAGCTGGGGACTAAAATGAGAAATCATATGCTTGTTGTACTCCCCATTCTTACATATGTTTGCCTTGTATGGAAGCAAGGGGTCAAAAATCATACACTGCTGGCTAAAATGAGTACTGTACAGCGATCGGCATCGATCCTGACTACCGGAGCTCAAATAAGCACACCACTGGCAGTCTTAAATACAATCTTGAACCTCCAACCACTGGATTCTCTGGTTAAATTCTAGCCTGCAAGATGTGCCCTGAGGCTCCGGGAAACGGTTGATTGGAAATCGCTGCACTTTGGCCAAGCTTGTATCCTTAACACGACGTCAGTCCATAACTTTTTGGAGAGGAGTACTAACATTAGTGACTATGCTCTCTCTCATAACGACTTTAACGACATTAGAGTAGAATTTCCTAGTGGGGATTCCTGAGCAAGTGGCTCCTTACCTCTGGCCGGTCTGTCGATATGTACAGTCGGGTCGAAGATGGAGGAAGGTACTGGTGCAGGCGTTTACTGCAAGGAACTAGCCATACACAACTCACATAAACTTACCGTTTTTCAGGCAGAAATCCTAGGAATCACGAAAGCTGCTGAAATAGTCAAAACACTGACGGCCGACAACATAGGACCGGTGACTATATATGTCGATAGTCGGGCGACCCTTAAGACACTCAAGTCGTGTATTATTAACACAAAAGCGGTTCGTGACTGCAAGGGTGTTCCTCATGATATACAACAGATAGTAAAATTATGTTGGGTTCCAGGACATAGTAACATAGAAGGGAATGAGATAGCCGATGAGCTTACTCGAGGGGGTTCGCAGGCTTCCAATCTACAGATTAAGGGATGTGTAAAACCTCCTGATGGTCACCAGAACTTGGACACGGGATTTCAAGAAACATCTGGCCAGGGGAAGGTAAAAATAGTAAGAGGGAGGTACAAATTTCCAAATGGGACATTAACTATTGCCGTTTATGTGAAGATGAAGAGCTGTTGATGTCCTTCGCTATGTAGTAGAAGACATCGAAATTGTTTCAAATTAAGTTTTTTCTCGTTTGAGGAAACTTCATTTATTTTTCTCGAACAACACCCAACATTTTGACAATGAGGAGTGTCAGGATAAGCTGACGCTAATTTCGTCAGGATTGGGCTTCGACATTGATTTTAGTGCTGCTTAAAAATCTCGATCTTATTTCGAGCAATACTTTTGATTTTGCCACTCCCACCATAGTCTCTCCTAGACGTCTTAGCTTCACATCGGCCTTCCTCTTTGGTAGTTGTAGTAGCTGCGCTGTATCCTCCAATATCGACGTTGTTTGTGACCCTTGGTCCATTAAAGCCCCTAATGTTATGTACTCGCCATGTAAAGACCTTACTCGGATTTGGGCTGTAGGTAGGAGAACATTTGCTGCTGTGTTGTTTGTTATTACCTTAGAGTTGCTTCCTTTTTCCAAATGGATCAGCGTGTTATGACTCAATCCACACTTCTGACATTTGTCATCGCCTAGACACCTCTTCTCTTTTCCGTGCTTCAGACACTTTAGGCATTATTGGGCTGACTTCACACAATTATATCGCTCGTTCGATGATTGAGCCGCAAATTTCCTACACGCCACAATATCGTGACCAACCAACATGCAAAATCTGCATTGCTTCTTTTCCGCCTTTTCTTGATATGTCTTGCTGTTTGAATATTTCTTGAACGGATTCTGTTTTGTCTTCTGCAGCTTCCAATGCTTGATATTGCTGTTCCAGGAAGTTCAGCACGTCTGCAAGTTTTTGAATTTCTTTAGACTTTTTCACATTTTGCTCGTACTGAATTAGTCCCTCTTTGTCCAGGTTTCTAATAATAATCCTAGCAAAAATCGGATCAGCATGGTCTAACGGTATCTCTATCACCATCAATGCGTGAACACTCTCATTCACGGTGTCGAGTAATTTTCTTAAGCTATATGCCGATTGACTATTTATATTCGGCTGATCCAAAATCTTATCCACTAGTTTCGTGAATAAAATGCTTTTGTTACTGTATCGCCTTTCCAGCAACTCCCACGCTGCCTTATAGTTTGCGCCAGTTACTTATAGATGCTGCACTAATCGTAAGGCTTCTCCTTTCAAGTTGGTTTTCAGATAATACAACTTTTGCACGTCCGACAGTTGAATATTACCATCTATCATTTTTTTTAAACATATCGTGGAAGGAACTTCATTCCTCCACATTTCCATTAAAAGTTGGAATCTCTATTCCTTTTTATTCCACCGCATGAGTTTCTTCTTTTACGCCACTTGTCCATCTAAATATATTTATGATAGGCACTTAAATATTTTATGATCTTTACACTGTGTAAATTATGTTCATATTTTAATTTCCTTTACTTTCAGAGACTTTATCGAGGCCCTACGGCAGCAGGAAGAAACAAATTCCCAACATTCCAATTTCAATGTACAATTCGAGCAGCAATTTCCCAAAGATTTATTTAATTAATAACCTTTTTTGTGTGTAATTAAACGCCATGTGTAACAACACCGACCGAACGACAGCAGCGCATTTTAAATCAAAAGCAGATGAACGATCAGCGTTATGTTTGAACTGTGAATCATTCAAAGTATTTTTCGTAATTTTTTTTTATTTTTTTCAGTAAAGGAATGCAACGAAATAACAAATGAAAAGGAACAAGTTTTGTTTTTTATGTATGATTTTATTTATTCTTTGTTTATAAACAAATGAATGTATGTAGATGAAATAAATTACTTTTTTTATACATATAATGAAATTAATATTATTAATTAATTAAAAAAGAAGAACGAAATACAATCGTTTAACAATTAAAATAACAGCTTCCTACATTGAGACAAAAGAAAGGAAGAAGGAAAAAAAAACATAAACAGCTAATCTTCTATATCAATTTTTGGAAACATGATGATGCATGAAGTTATAATTGATGTGGTTGATTTATGTTTGCAGACACAATTGATTAACTTATGACGACTACGACGGCAAGCTAGCTAGACACACCCCGAACTTTTAATTTCGTCTCACATAACCAGGTGTGGGTTCAGTGACATGCAGTTTTGTTTTGATATTTTGTTTACAGTCTATTTATAGATCAAGAAGATTAGCTTTGTTTTTTTTTTAATATAATAAAAAATCGTAACTCTTTTTGCTAATTCCGTTAGTTGCTTAGTTTATGCGGGTTTTTGTTTAAATATATTTGGTACAATCGTAATGACGTTCACAACATTCTGGATAACTGCGATTTACATTGACAAAATCACGCATTTTACAGCCTTTTGGTGGTGGTACTGGAGGGCATCTGTAAATGAATATTATAATTATTATTTTTGTTATAAATCTAGTAAATGTTGTAAAGTATTTTGAAAACTTACGTTCTGAATTCCACCATGCTATTTTCCATACATGTGACACCAGCACAGGGATGATTGGGTGCTTTACTCTTTTGTCCAGGCGATAGAATGGTGTTTGAATCGAATGTACATTTGCCGGGATAAGCTGTAAGGGGAACATTTTTAATTAGTTTATTAGTTAATAATTAAAATACATTCAAAATGAGGATATTTAAAAATAATAAACTTTGAAAGGGGAAGTGGGGAAAATGCCTCAAGGTCATAAAGTTAATGTACATTTTATGCCACCAGCATCACCAAATCTCGGAGGACTGTGGGAAGCTGGTGCAAAACGAATAATGGATCATCGAATTCTGACTTATGAAGACCGGTCTATTTTACTGGCTCTAATTGAAGGATGTCTCAAATCAAGACCGCTTTGCCCAATGTCACCTGACCCTTTATATTGTGTGTGTGATTTTTGTTAGTTACGCCTTTTTGCATTTTAGCTAACGATATACTATCTGTCTCAGACAAAGATTTGTTGGATTGCTCCATAGACAGAGTTTTACTGGTGGAAAGTAGTTCAACTGCTTAAACAATAATTCTGGAAACGATTGACTTCAATATCGCCCAAAATGGTTGAAACCACAAAAGAATATTGAAGTTGATGATTTGGTCCTTGTATTCGCTGAACGCCTTCCTCCTGGCCAGTGGCCTCTGGCACGAATTACGGAAGTTCATCCTGGCACTGATGGCAGAGTTAGAGTTGTATCTCTTAAATCTAATGGAAAAATCTATAAACGTCCTATTTCGAAAATTGCTCAATTGCCCCTTCAAGAAGATTTTACTTCCTACAAGGAAAATGATGTGAGTTACTGTGAGCAGGGGCATAGAAAGTTTTTCTCACTGGCTGAAACGTCTAAGCCCTCAGTACCGCAAAGGTAAACTGAGTACTAAGACGTCTCAGACACCAGCATCTACGAAGACGGAGGATAAGGGACTGTCAAAGTCAGCCGACGGAGAGCCCGTAAAAAGGTCTCCAAGAAGGCTGATAAGGCACAACCTCTGCCGAAATGTCTAAACCGATATCCAAGGTTGTGACAATTGGGCAGTTGTTGGTGTATGCTCCAAAGTCAGTTGTGACCCCGGGAGCCGAAACACGATCACAACTCACAGCTGTGAAGAGAATTAGGTCCTCGGACGGACATCTGCTACTAAGAGACCCAGGTAGTCGTCAGTTGCACAAAGAAAGCAAAACCCGCTGTCTCGAAGCAGGTAGCCCAGAAACCTACAACGGCGCCTAGCGAATCTGCTGCACCACAAGAGGTACTGGATGATTTGCGAGTAGCAATCATGGATCGAGCTGATCCTGACGGGATTATCACTGAAGATAAATGGTTGCTAGTCGACAGCTATTTGAAAGACCTCTTCCTATCCGACGAAGTTGATTGACAAAACCTACGGTTTGGCCAGATCACCTTATACAAAGAGCTCAAGGTCATTAATTGTCGAACTATGGAGTCTGCGGACTTCCTTAAGAAGACAATTAACAGCTGCGATCCTCTTTGGGAAGGTAATAGACTGGCAGCCGTAGCAGTCCAAGAGATATCAAGCGGAATGGTAACTTCGGTGTGGATCCCACCACCTTTTAAGGGACTGGAGAACGATTAGTACGATTAGTGGAAAAGCAGAACGACGGCCTTTAGATGAGGAGGTGGAGAATCCTTGCCTCATTTGAAGGTAACGGCGGTGTAGTCGCAAAGTTCGCTAACGACTCTGCTGGTGAGCAGTACTTGAGGAAGAACAAGGGGGAGTTGTTTTATGGGATGGGAAACTCCATTTCCATCTCCCGCCATTAAAACAATAAGCAGACAGCAGCAAGCGCTAAATGTGCATCACTGTAGAGCATCATCTGCTGAACTGCTTCTCATCCAGGAACCATATATCTACAAAGATAAAGTGACTGGTTTGAGTGACAAAAAATATACGATTTTGTCTGCCTCCACGGGAGAGAAGGTATGATCCTGTATACTTGCTAAAAATAACTAAATTTAATGCTCCTTTCGAATTTCAGCAATAGTGATATGACGATAGTCAGACTATATAGGGGTAGTTCGAGACCCCTAATAGTCTCTGCCGTCTATCTGCCGTATGAGGCTCCCGACCCACCCGGACCGGATGTATGTAACCTGATGCAGGCTATGAGCAGAATTGGTGATCTAGTAATTGGCTATGATACCAATTCCACAGGATTAGCAGTGACACCAATCCAAGAGATGAGTCCATTATTCGATTTTATACTTAGATATCATCTTAGGATATGTAATAGGTGCAACACAGCAACGTTCGTAAATAGAGTGAGAGCGAAGTCATTGACATAACCCTCAAAAACATGGTTACGAACAAGAAAGTATCTGAGAAATGCTCCTATTCGGATCATAGGATGATAATTTCCCAGATTCCTACCTCTACAGAAAAAACAGGAACCTTATAGAAACCCACGGAATACAAACTGGGATAAGTTCAAAGCTCAAACAGGAAACGGATGCTTCAAAGTCGCTGCACTTTGGCCACGCTAGTATCCTTAACACGACGTCAGTTCGTGACTTTTTAGAGAGGAGAATTCATAGTCATAGTCACTCCCTCTCATAACGACTTTAACGACATATAGTCTCCTAGTAGGGAATTCTGGGCAAGTGGCTCCTTACCTTTGGCCGGTCTGTCGATATTAACAGACGGGTCGAAAATGCAGGAAGGTACTGGTGCTGGCGTTTACTGCAAGGAACTAGCCATATACAACTCATATAAACTTATCGATCTTTGCAGTGTTTTTCAGACAGAAATACCACCTCCATTCGCTATTTAATTGGCAAAATCCGAATGAGCTAGTGCGAGAATGTTGACAGCAGATGGTTAGCGGAACCTGGATTATCTGGCCTAAGTTCTCACGTCGAAGAACTACTTCGATGCTGTCTCATAATAAGAGGAATAAAAAATCATTGTGGGGACCATAACATGTCACTGCAGGATTAGATCTGTCACTTCCAAATGGGACATAAACGGAGTGGATTATTGTCGTTTATGTGAGGATGAGGAAGAGCTGGAAACAATTTAACATACACTTTGTAGATGTTCATCGTTATGCAGCAGAAGACATCTCTATACTCTAGCCTTCTTCTCTGGAATATACCCCAAAGAGAACCTTAGCTTTGTTAAAATCCTGACATGGCTAAAATAACCAACATTTTTACACTTTTTAAACTTCCTTTATCCCATTTTCCGCTTTCTTATTTTCCTCTTTTTTCAGGTACCCAGGATGAGCATAATGGAAAAATGTCTCCAAATGAAACGGTTGTACATCTTTTAAACCTAAACTGCACCAAACTCTTTATTGGTCATATTGTTCCGAATTGAGTATAGATAAGGTCGGTTAAATTTTGTTCAAAATTCGAAGATATAACTCCCATAGGCTATAGACGGGATTTGGAACAGAGTACTATATTGGAACTATTGTATTTTTTTGTATGTTGCCAAAATTGCAATTCAATGAAAGAATCTTAGGAGTCACTCTAGTATATACCCATAGTGGTGTAGGGTATCTTATAATCGGACTCCGACTTTTGCCTTTACAAATGGTCTGTTTCCGTACTGCAAGAATCTACTAGATCGTTATCGTAGTAAAAAGTAGTAGGTTCTTGCAGTTGGGGAACAGACCAAGTAGGGGAACAGACTAAAATAAATTCGGTTTACTCTGTCATGATTGGGGTTCTGTACAGACTCAGCTCCCATGCTCATGTTTACTAGAGCTACATATCAGATCAAGAATTCTAATGGAGCTGAATCCTTTAATTTTGGTTTGGATTTTCCTTGGGGGCTTTGTGAGCTTTACGGTCCCTTCTCTTAGAGGGATTTTGAAGTAACTATAGTTACCTTAGTTATTACAAAATCCTTCTAAACGAAGGGTCGGCTTCACAATTTCGAATTGGCCTATTTTCAGGAACCTCATTGAATTTGAACGAAAAAACAAACAGATTTTTTAGAACAATTCCACACAACAATTTGGCCTTCGCGATTACACTTTTTAGGAATATCGTATTATTTTTCTTAAAATTTTCGATATTTTGTTTGTTTTTTGCAATTCTTGAATTATTTTATGAAATAATCCTTTTTCAAATTATGATCATAAACACACTCACTTGGATTGTGGAAACGTGCTGTGGCTATGGCTGCTTCACTCCAGGCCAACATTCCCAATAAAACACACACGAATACAACGAATTTCATTTTGGCACAAGGATTTAAATTTTAAAAATTACAATAAATATTCAACTCTTTTGATGCTGTGTGTAAACACTTGAATGTCTTTGGAACAACTGTTATATTTCAGCGGTGAAGCTTCAAGTTTTATATGTTAATTGTTATCGGTTGGATCGGTTAATCGTCATCGTCGCCACCATCATCTTCAGCAGCAGCAGAGAAGATGGAATAATTGAATTTCGAATTAAAAACCAAAAAAATATTAAACACTTGTATTGTTGCAGATATGTTTGTTGTTTGTGATTTCGATTTCGGGGGAAGGTTGTTGTTCTTTTGTTGTAGCGTTGGTGACGTACAAGTTCAAGTTCAGGAACAAAAAAAAAAAAAAAAAAAAAATGCGCCACACCATCAATATTTTTTTCTGCGTAGATGTTTTTTGGATATGGTGGAAGCATATCGCATTTCATATCAATAGGAAGAATGTGATTTTATAATGATGGGACTGTTTTTTAAAGATTCTGGTGGCTTCTACGGAATAAAGGGAAAAAAACTAGAAGAACCAAGGATATGGAAATCGAAACTTGGGATCCAAGGAATAAACGAAATTAGTTTTTATTAATTTGAATGACAATATCATTAAATATTTGTCAGAAAAACGACATATTTTCATAAAACGTGGTTTTTTTTCCTATTTCGAGGTCATTTGGCGAAACGGATATTTATTGGGAATAGGTTATATTTGAATACATAATAAATTGAGGGAGTTACAAGTAATTTTGTAGTCTGTATTTATTCGTAATTACTCTCCGATTTTATTACTGTCTAATAATTTTCAGAATTCAAACATTTTATTTTGTTCACTTCTTGCAGCGATTACTTATCTCTAAAATGTAAATGTGAAAAGTTCAATCTTATCAGTAAAGTAAGAGTATTCGAATTTAAGAAAAATGTGTCATTTGAATTTTGTTTTTTGATGTCATTGCCATTAGTTGCTGTTGTTAAATTTTAAGAAACAAAATGTTGAAAAAATTAGGCCCCACAGAAGGAATTTGGTGATAAATAATATATAAGTAGTTCTAAATAGGTGAAAATAGAAGCAGTGGCCTATGTCAGCAGTGGCGAATGTTGAGGGAAATACGAAAAATACAACTCTGTAATTGGTGTCTTATTATGTCATATTTACTTATACATGCTACAGGATGTTTTAACATTTAAATTTTATTAAAACAATAAAATTTTCCTAGAAGTGAATATAAGATTATTTTCATAAGGTCAAGTTTAAAAAAAAAAAAAAATATTTTTTTAATGATTCGAATCTTCAAGAATGTGCCTATAAAATTCCAGGTGAAAATCTCAACAACTTTTGAAGATATAGCCGGTTTGATGATGACACAATCATCAAACGACGGCTAAAGTGCTTCTCAAACTTTAAACGCGTTTTTCTCGATAACTCAAAAACTATGGATCGGTTCCAAATTTTGGCACTTTTCTCTGTGAGTGTATAGCTATCGTATAAACTAGGATAAATCCAATCGGTTAATATCTTCCTTGGTACTCTTTCCCTTAAGTTAAATATTGACCGTAAGAGTAACAAGCAAAAGTTTTGCCGGGCCGAACATTTTGTAACCTTTACCATGAGGTGTACATTAGAAATATTTAAAATCGATCGGTACTGCCAGGAGAAAATGAAATACCAAACTAATAATACTCAGTAGTTTCAGCGGTTTCCTGTGATGAACTTTCGATTAAGAAATTTACTCATACTTTTCCATGACTGTAAATGAGTTCTGCGGGATAAACGTTAGTTTGATAGACAGTTTTGGGTTCCGGGTCATGCGACATAAAGGAAATATGAAGGACCTGACGAGTTTACTCGATGTGGTTCGCAGACAATCAAGTGATGATACTGACAAATTTCTTAGCTACAATTTTGGTAAGATTCTAAGGAGAGCTTGATAAACCTGGATAGAGAACCTCAAAATTTATTTGGTCGATAATCTCCAAGTGTATATCTAACAGATTAATTTTTCTGGATAATAATATGTTAATGATAATTGTAGGGATCGTTACCGGTCAGTGGCGATTCAGGTCTCTCTTTTCATGGTGGGAAATTTATGAAGTTGAATAAAGCCGTCTATGTGTGGATGAAGAAGACCCTAATTTTTACTATTTTGTTCGATATCATAAAAAATCCCCACAAAACGGTATTTTGGGGAGTTAGGCACAGAAGTAAATCTCTCTTTAAAAATATAAATTTTGGTCCAATTTTCGGAGTAGTCTCCATGGAGAGGTATTCGGTTTTTGGCGACTTGAGCAACATTTTTAACTGTATTGACTGTATTTTGATATTTCGGTTCCGGTATTTGGCCGGTATTTTGGCGACTTTAGGTACTTAATAGAATAGACCGTAATTTAAAAGTTTGGTCCACGTTTTTGTATAACACTACCACGAACTCTTTGGTATATTAAAGGTTTTAGCCACACTTTCCCACCAAACTAATTGTAATTTCGCATTGCTCGAAGCTTTTTGGAGGCTGACATAGTTTACATATCAGTAAAGTGAGAGTATTTGAAGTTTCGATATGTTTTAGGTATTTACAATGGTTGAGCCGCAATCTCACTTTGAAGTAGATTTAATTTCGCATCCCAGGTTTTTGAAGGTTAAAAATGCTTGTCTATAAAACATTTCCTATATAGATCTATTTTTGGAACTTGTGTACTTTTAAATGTATCCGAACTTCCCTGGCATTCTAATAACTAACATCGGTATCAATACATGAGGATAACACCAAATAAGAATAAAACGCTACTCAGCGGAAAATTCCAACACTAAGTGAGGACTTCAACCAGTGTACAAAATTCAAAGATGCGTTGTTTCTAGGCGACGATAGATGACAGCTCTATCTCTCAATCATCTACTTAAGGCGCGTTTATCGCGATGAAGTGCATTATCTCGTTTTATATTATAAATCGAACACAATTAACTTCATTTACCATACAACATTAAATCCCCTCAATATCTCGAATTGCTCCAAATCCTATACTACATCGAGATAGTTTCAAATACAGCCCTGTTTTTTTCACATAAAATTACTAATTCTCCTAAATGTATGATTCGAAATATTTTAAAATTAAAAATAATTGCCTAAGAAAAATATATATTGAATATCCATCCCAATAATGGATAAAAATCCGAATTTTTTCACTTGTGTAAAAGAGGAGTAAAATGGGGGAAAAAAAAAATAAAGTAGGCATCATAAAAAATTTGATTTGGGGTTTTCCCCCACAAAAAAATAGTAATAATAATTAAAAATAAGCAATAAAATTTTAGGGAGTTTAAAAAAAACTGAAGATGACTGATGATGATGATGCCAAATGGAAAAACGTATGGCTATATTAATAACAATTTTATTTGTCATAAGATAATGCATTACTTCTGAAACTTGATAGGTTTGGGTTTCGAAAAATATACGAAATGCAAAATGCTGAGAACAACCTTTAATATAAAAAGATAACAGGATGCGGTTCAAACAAGGAACAAACATTATCCCCAACGGAACAAGCAATATCAATCATCTGGATTCTTCCGTCGAGGGTGTAGCGGTGAAATCCATTGGTTTTAGAGCAGATCAACGAATTTGTGCACAATATTTAAATGCTGCATTCGAAGAAAGTAAAACCAATGAAGAAATTAAATATGTTTTATAATCAATAAAACAGATTTATGAAAATCAAATGAACCAAAAAGATATTCACAAACGAATCTACAGATCTTTAGACAGATTTTGGAGAACTTCTTAAAAAAAAAAACAGTAAGGAAAGTAGTAAAGTCGGAATAGGCCGACTATATGATACCCTTCACCACCTAACAGACGCCGCCTTTTCGAAGGAACATTAACATGAAATTGAACGAATTTATATATGGGCACTTCCGCAGTCACTTACACGACTTTCAGAGACAAAATCTAACTTTAAATGTTAAATAAATCAAAAACAGTAACATTTTTCACAATCTCCCTTAATAATTTTTTGTAGAACTTTAGGAGTACTATCAGTGATAAACAATTTGAGGGCCTTCGGTTTTTATCTTTCGAGATAAAGGTCATAAAAGAGCGGTCACTCACGCGACTTCAAATATACATGACTTTAGACACCATTGCTAATAATGGGAAAACTCTGCGAATTGTGCGAATATTTTGAACTTTTTATATTCTTTACACGAATTAGAGATATCAAGCATTATTATTGCACTTTCAAAATATAGCATATCCCTTATTTGCGAAGGTTTTTTCTCGGTCACTCAGGCGACGTAACTCATTTGATTAATTTTGCAGTTTTTATTTCTGCAGTGTCTGCATTTATAGTCTTTAAATTAGTATTTATGCTAAGAACAAGAAAAACCAGTAAGGAAAGTAGTAAAGTCGGACTGAGAGCTGTATCTAAATCTGAACCGATTTTCACGAAACTAAACACACATCATTCTACTCTTATTTTAGTACGCTGAGCGAAATTTCGCATATTGAAATATATTTAGGAACTTTGATGCACCATTTACCTTAAATCGGACGAAAATATATATGGGAGCTATATCTAAATCTGAACCGATTTTCACGAAACTTAGCACACACCATTCTAGGCTTAATTCAGTATGCCGTGCAATAGCACACACCATTCTACACCCAATTCAGTACGCTATGCCAAATTTCGTGCCTATCGAAAGATACCGAAACATATTTAGGGACTTTGGTGCACCATTTACCTAAAATCGGACGAAATAAAAATACTCCAATTTCAATAGGGTTCGTCCTTGGGCCAAATTTCATCCAAATCGGACTATAAATGCGACCTGTACTTTGTTTACAATTTAACATCAACAGATGAACGGACATGCATAAATAGACTCAGAAAGTGATTCTATGCATATTCTCAAAAGGAACCATGGGTCTATATCGATTTCTTTTGCCTGTTTCAAACATATGCACAAAGACATAATACCCTGTACCACAGTGTGGTGAAAGGTATAAAAATACTACCAAGAGAT